TATATATATATATATATAATAGCATAATACTTAATAATACCTAAGTAGTAATCCTATAATGGCCGTTTATGATTAAACCAGTTAGTTCATGCTTACTCAACATATTTGCAGATTAGTTGGGTAGATGTGGTAACAACTCTCGCCTTACCTATCCAAAACAGCATTTTTTCCCGCATTATTGTCACACATTTAAAGATGTACCCAGTTAGAGCATTGCTCTGAAACATATATATGCATATGTGCTGATTTCCGAAGAATCTCCAAACAACATAACTATATATGCATGTATATATACAGATAAAGTCTCTTTAAAACGAAATTTTGGGACTATAAACGTTTGTTCGTTATGATGAAATTTCGTTATTCCGGAAAAATAAAAAACCGCTTTATTGCAATAAGCTATAAAATTGTTCGTTATTGGGAATGTATAGAGATTTATTGGTCTACAAAAATCTTAAGAATTCCTTAAGGTATTATCAGGTCACAAACACCAATACTTATGTCAGCCGACAAACAATACAGGCTTGGAGTCATCCTGAAAAGATGATCATTTTAATCATTTAAATTCGTGAAAATTCGGCCAAATAACAAACTAAGAATTTCTCCTTTCCTCCTAGCAGTCTAGATCGTGTATTGTTTGCTGTCTTGCGTATGCCAATTCCTCGCCTTGTAGTTAACCTATTTCCAGTACTTTGATCATCTTTTCGAACTGTTACTAACCGCTACACTTGATCGCAAAGCGCTGTATTTGTTTATCTTAAGTCGGCTGCTATTCTAAAGCCTTTTCTAACTTTACTTCTCCAAAGAGCATGAGTTTTGGGCCCGGCCGAGGCCAATTCCTGACATCCTATTTCGGGCCATATCCAAACTTGCTTATCCAAATATTTTACTTTTCTATCCTTCAATGTCTGTTGGGGAAGTTTTGCACTATCAAGCCTTGATGCAATCAATGCGACATTATCTATAAAGTGTTGTGTGTATTGACAGGACAACTTTATACGTCCTTCCTCTGTCCTACACACTTGGTCCCATTTTTCGTTTCGATTTGAGTCTCGATCTGATTGCTCTTGTCATTCTGGCTCTTCGATAGCATTGCCTTTCGAATTACATACTAGTACAGGGTCTTAGGCCAGCGAGCCATCCTTATATCTCCGCTATGCGTGATTGAGTTCACTCCGTCCAGAAGTGGCAAGAGGATGTGGCTAAGCTCTGTTCAGTTCATAGCACTTTTTACTATTCCCACTCTCTTCACTACGTCCTTTTAAACTATGCTCTTCTCCTACTTGTATGCAGTATTTCAGACATGCATAATTCATTCTCTCACCTTCCGGTTTGAAGAAAATTCTATTTGTTAGTTCCTCACACTTTTTGCCTCATCTCTCTCCCAGAAAATCTCATTTCCTTCAATTCGCTGTCAACTTTACAAGCTGACCGTGTGACTGGCATAGCACCTGCCCAGCGGGCTGTCTTAGTCAGTTCCGGCTGAGGTAACTCTTCTTTAACTGAAGCGTCAGGATGGAGGTAGGAACAGAGTAGGTTAAGCCCAAAATTACCCCACATTTTTGGTTATTCCGTTGGCTGGTCCACACAAAAGATAATTATCATTTGCTTTTACTCATATGCTTTCAGTTTGGAGATCTGAAGACAGGGACAATCAGGTCATTTGGTGTCTTTGTTCATCCTTTTTGATCCCTCATTTGATTTTTCCCGTCCTTTTGTTTGCTCTGCTCTGTCGGTCCTCATTTGAGCCTCTATTGCTGCAACCGCTGACAACACCCTTACTCAAGGCGACCAAAACCAATGGTCAGTTCAAGTTATTCCGACGCCTAATACCTTTCATAAATCACTCTTCCTTTCAGTTTTCCCTTCTGTTCTCACCAGAATCTCGTCGTCAATGCAACTCCTTGTCTCCTACACAATTACAATAACAGAGAAAAGCGTAACTATTCCAGTCTAAAGCAAGTTTAACGCTTGAACCCATCTAATGATGCGGTAACCAATCAGACTTTCAAAAGGGACAATTGATTACTTTATTCCCATGTCACTGGGACTACGCCTCCTTTTTCCTCCTCCACTTTATCTTCTGATCCTCCCTCCCAACCCTACTATCTTTCTCGCTCTCTCTCGCTCTCTAACTTTCCAGTGCTTTTCTTTTCTTCTTTTCTCTACATGCCTCGGCTTGTTCTCTGCTCATCCTCCACCTACCCTCATTGCGGTCCGGCTAATTTCTGCCTCCAAACTCTCCTTAGGTCGACTAGAAAGGAAGAAGAATTTTTGCCCCTTGAGTCACGCAATGCATCAAAAGCCAATGTTCACAATGATTCCGAAAGCTGTATTTTTACTCAAGCAGCCTCTAGTATCGAGGTAGCACTTATCCGCATTCTATACTAGCTGCATACAGTCCCAGCGTCTGTTTGCAAGTTGTTGTTGTGAAGACCAGTTGCGTGGTTACTCCTAGGCTGTCAGAGACGATGTGCTGAGAGGTCAGCATGAGCCCTTTGCCTCATAATGGTTGATGTCTCAAGTTGAGTTCACATCAAACTCCAATAGATGATCTGAGTCCAGTAAACCATAAGTTATTTTCTCCAAATTAGCTGGTCTAAAATGCAGACATTTTCGCTTATCTGCCTTAATGAAGTCCCATGAGCCAACATTCTTTTCTAAAGTGTGCTTACAAAAGTGTGCATCAAAGGCTCTAAGAGCCGGACAACAGCCTTTAACCGTTTTCAAAGTAACAACTTTTTCTAAGGTTGTTGTCAATAGGACTGAGTGGAATTTCTAATGGTAATATTTGAATGGAATTGGAGAATAATGTTAGTTGGGTAAGGATGTGAAAATTATAAACTTTCTCCTAGACTCTAATTACAATAAAAGATTGGAGTTTAAGCAGTAGTAACTGTTTTTCGTTTTTTAATCAGGTTTTCGAGACCTCAGATGTATTCACCCTATTTCGTTTAAGGCGATAAGGAGATTGTTAGTATTAGTAGGCCATACGCTTCCATTGGATTTCACATAGCCTTGCTTCCCAAAAAGGTATTATCATCCATGCTGGACTGCACAGCCATTTCGACCTCGCCTATATCTGATCAGAACCCCCAGCGGGGT